ACAATATAATGTTTTCTGACCGTACAAAATACACTTACATCCATCACTCTCTTGTTCATGGCTTCAAGCGATACATCGTAATATGAGGCCATCTCTAGCAGAACACCCGGATCAGGTTTGTCCTTCTGTTTATCAAACAAGACAACAAATTTATTAATAAAAGCAATTTTGTCAATTCATTTTTGTAAGGGTTTAATACTTATCGTAAAACAACAACAACAACATAAGACAAGCAGCCCCGTTTTTCTATTGTGACTTTCAAATATATTCAGAGATATAGCATGTGTTTGTGATCATGCGGTAGATAGAGCTGATTCAATAAAGGATGCTTTGGGCATTGGGAAGCTATTGTTTGGTGGTCACTCAAGCAAATCATCGAATTGTTCTGAATGCCCAAATACCCAATGCCCAATCGCCAACGACCAATTGGCAAAGCAACCTAAATTGAATTAGGTGTATACATGTACCTTAATGCGGCTTGTCCATCTGACAGGTGCAGCATAACCTTTCATCATCCACTCATGGTTCAAAAGGCCTTTAATCGTTACCCGTCTCTTGGGGTTTACCTGTTAGGACGTGACAAGAAACGAGCTGTAGTCAATTCTTGCCGCTTCCCTTGGAAAATTTCACAGCCCATACAACTGAACTCTTCACATGTTTACCCAGCGTTCACGTCGTCCACAAAACGAGAAATTAGGCAGTTTCACGTCGTGGTTAAGCAATGTTCCCGGTTCCAAGATAGTGATGTGTAGAGATTGTGAAAACGCACGGGGCCTGGAAATAGAGAAGGTGCAGCCCCCTTTCCCAGATCACGCACGTCCTATTTTCCCTTGACCTTGTTTTCCAAATGTGCCAGTACAAAAAAGCGTGATGCACGCTTTAATTTGTTGTGTTGCTAATCTAAACCTATTGATTTTGTCAAGTTGTCGTTCTCGTCGTCGTCGACGTCGTTGCTTAAGCTCCCTATAGAGGGTCTGTTGACAGGTCAATGTTTACCCTTCCAAAACAGAAAAACTGAACATAACTATTTGTTAATGTGTACCTGCAACAGCTGGCTTAAAATTTTGGCACTGCCTACAAGTAAAAAACAAAAGTAAAAAATGTAAACAAAGCTATGTTCTCTGTTAGCTTCCTCCCCAGGCAACTCCGGTTACACTGACAGTGAGGAGTCTGAGGACGAGAAAAGGGGCAAAAAATGTGCTGGAGTTGCCTGCTAAAAATCGAAGAGTGTGGACCGCGTCCTTCACCCTTGTGGACTAATGACTAGACCCGGGGTCCCCTGGGGGTTTTCGTCAGACAAATTATTACAAGTTCAGTCCCCTAAGAAAATTTTTTGTCATTCCTATATGGAGACAAGCGAGGGCGCTGTAAGTACTGCAATCTTGCTTTTATGCACTGTGTATTCGAAATGTTGGCTCTGTTCGTTATTCCGTTTTCTATGTTTGCTGTCTGAATCTAGATTCTGTCGTTTTTCATACGGACGTTTGCCTCGCTAGTTTTCTATTTTTCTCAAACGTTTGTTATCGATGATTTCATTTAGCCGATCGGCGGCATCAAAGGCAAGTCTCCAGGCTCCGCCACCCTTTCCCTCCCCAGACTACCGCTTAGCTCGTTTCGCTCGCCGATTTTTTTCTCCTTTTTCCCCCCAATGTGGAGCTTGGTCCCAGGCTACTCCCTACTCTCCCAGTCGTTCTCTAAAACAAGACAGTGAAGCCTGCTGGAGTCTAACTTTCCCCTTCTCTTTCTAGCGAATGTACGTACACTGATGGCTTCAATACGCGCGAAAATACGGGTTCTTTCGTTTTTTAAGTCCAATCATATAAGCTGTACACATAAAATTACCTGGTGACAGCCATTCTGGTACTTCATACTCTCCCTTCTGCAAAGTAAATAAACATAAAAGACATTCGTTGAATTCAATGAAAAGGTTACAAAAATCCTATTAATTGGAAAGCTGACAGTGCCGCCAAAAAAATATGGTTACAGGGTTCGTACAGATTTTTGGATCCAAAATAGAAGACTTTTTTCCAGACTTGTTTCAAAACAAAAATTTATTTTTTTGGACTCAAGGTTACAGCTGATCAATATAGACCTTAAAGAAAGCAGAAGCAAAGCTTTCTTCATGATGCGCTGCAAACGTTCACTTATCATGTCACTTATAAATTCACTCATAAAGCTATTGTTTCAAGTTTGCAAAAAAAAAAGCACCGTAGGATTTTGTATGCAGCCTCAATAGATATCACTACATGAATTCTAAATTAATACAATTAATGGTACCAAGTAAAGGTACCGCTAAAGAGGTTTCACTTTAATGGTCACACCGTCAATGTTTGTCTACCCTGAGAAAACAGCCAATAATTCGCCACGCCATCAATGGTTTTCACCGCGAAGTGATGTCCACGGAACGAAGGCAGAAATTCCATACTGATGACGTATCACTACCCAGATCTGGGTGGTGCTTTTGATTGGTTGAAGGATCTTTCCCACGTGGAACGACCAATCAGAAGCACTACCCATCTCTGGGTAGTGATACGTTATCAGTGTGGAATTTCTGCGCTCGTTCCGTGGACGTCATTTCGTAGGAAGAAAACTGTGGTGGCATCACGAAATGTCAGCTTTTTTCTCAGACTAGAGTCCAGACTCAAAAATTAAAACTGCAGTCTATTTGAATTTTCTTTAACAACTGACAAAGGTTAGAATTGCAATGAAAATTGTTCCAAAAGATTTACCTGAATTAACTTGTACAACTTGAAGGTGTTATCGTCATCAAATGGTAAAAATCCACAAAGGAGAGCATACAACAGTACACCCATGCTCCACAGATCAACCTAGTAGAGTTTTAAGAAGGGTAAGACATATTTGCACAAAAAATTGCCAGCTCGTGTACCAGGGCCTTTAAGGCCCGGTTCAGACGCCGAACTTTTCCTGAGCCGAACCTAATTTGAATTAAGGCCGACCCAAATTATTAAGACCGGCTGAATTGATTCAGACGCCGATCTTAATTGCAGCTGAAGTTCAGAAGGCGAAAAAATGCTTATTTCGGTCAAACTGCCCACAAAATACGTTATTATAATAATCATTATTAATGCATTAGGTTTGGTAGATGAAAAGTTCGGCGTCTGAATGAAAGCGGTCCCAAAGTCGCTCCAAAGGCGAAATTCCCGGCCGGGCTAGGCGAAAAGAACGGCTGAGCCGTTCCAAATTGAGACAGGCGTTCCTAATTGATTCAGACGCCGAACTTTTCATGTACTTAAAATTCAATGTATTAGGTTCGGCTCATGAAATGTTCCGCGTCTGAACCGGGCCTAAGGACACTGGCGGACAGCAATGTTTAATGTTCAGTAAATACCAAGTTGTTACGATAACATGTATCTTTAAGAAAACGCGTTACCCTAAAGGTAGCCCAAACTTGTGGATATAAAAGTAGAGAGCTCTGACGCTTATTTGCTGAAGTTGGGGAAATTTTGAACTTAGTTTCATTTTTCGTAAAAATGTGGTTTAAAATATATGCCGATATCTCAAACGATTTTATATCTACATTTTCTTAAAGTGACACTATTTTTTATCAAGGAAGCCAAAAATCATAGAAATCGGTTAAATTGTCTTGTTGAAAAAGGCGATTAAAAAACGTCACCAACAGGCATATAAATAGGTTCGGGCCACCCTAAGGAGCTTTAGGGGCAACAATTAGGACTTAGCCATCGCTTTAGACGTTTCTAACGACAACAATAAAGGAAATTTCCTACCTCATTTCCATGATAAGGAAAACCAGAAATGAGTTCTAAAGAAAACAAAAATTACATAAAATGTCAAGTTTACTGTACATGTAAGTACAACAGTTAAACTACATTTTAAAGTGAAATTTTAACATCCATATTAACCACAAAGAGTGTACACTTGTTTAAGCTACATGATACCAAACGACAAATAACAAGCAAGTTGGCTTCTTACATTACAAACTACTACTTTTTGTAACAACTTCCCGAGCTTAGTCCTTTGCAGAGATCAAAAAAACTTCAATTCCAGCTTGTCCTTCATTGGGCAAGCAGCTCTCAAATTTTGCTTGCAGGAGTCAGTGTTTTCCCTTGGGGTGGGGGGTAGTGGGGTTAGGGACACGGCTTTGACCTCGCTGTGAAATTTAGGAGATAAGTTCTCCGAAACGTCATTGCCTCATTTTAAGACCTATTTTACGCAAATCAGCTGATGTTATCTTCAGACAACTATTTAAAACGTTTGATTCCAATGATGTCGTCAATGCTCTCTATCCAAAATGCGTGGCCCATAAAAAAAAGCTGTGTATACTTAGTACACTTCCATATATTCACTCATTACTATCACTCATTATCCACTCGGATCGGATCACAACTTGCATATTTTTTAAAACAACTTATTTAGTTTTAGTAGACCTCCTAGCGGTTGCAGGCGGAAAGAAGTGATGCTTCAGACAGTAAATTTTACTGGTAAACTGCCTGATAAGGAGAAGACTAAGGAGGCCACTTCTTGCTTGTCTTACTTTATGACAATGACTTGCCAGGACCCTTCCTCATTGGTTAAGCAAGCTTTAAAAGTTACTTGCCCAGCAAAAAAAATTTACTTCTTGTCCTGGACTACTGGACAAGGCTCTTTTTCAAGCCCTGCGTTAGTGAAATGGGAAGCTTGTTAATTTTCTTTCACACAATAGTGTATTCTCCCCTTGACAATGATGACAAGTTCAGCTTGGCAAAGGGGGTGCCTTAAAGGCGGACGTGCCTATAGCGGAAAAGAGTAGCATTGCCTTGGTGGTAACCATGGTAACCAAGTGAAAGCCGAGCACCCAGCACCATCTCACTGAAAGAGTTCAGTGGAATACTTATCACAACCCATACTTACCTATTCAGGCGTGGGAGGATTTGGGAGCAAAAACCAGCAGATACCACAGATCGTGAAAAGATCAGCAAAGGAAAGCAAAGCAAAGCAAAGCAGAGCTGAGATATGCAATCACATGCAAGCCCCTGCAGAGCCAGCGCCACTCCGCACAAGCCTGCCTGACTGGGCCTCAACCACTGATCCGATTGTGCTGTCTCGTGGTTAACTTTGCCTAAATTACGATTTAGCCACATTTAAATCGGAAAACCTACCGGGTGCCGCATAGGCAGGAGATCCACAGCACGTATCCAGATGATCGGTCATGCCACCTCTTGGTTTGGCAACCAATCCAAAGTCAATCAGTTTGATGTTCTGTCAACAAAGAAAAATGAAATGATAAAAAAACAACAACAACAACAACAACAATGAAANATGATCGGTCATGCCACCTCTTGGTTTGGCAACCAATCCAAAGTCAATCAGTTTGATGTTCTGTCAACAAAGAAAAATGAAATGATAAAAAAACAACAACAACAACAACAACAATGAAAGTAACTAAACTGTCCCAGTTATGATCACACAAAAGTCTTTATAACAAATCCGTGATGATTGTTCTAAGTTTAACTTGTTCAAATACACTGTACATTGTACATACATGAAAATATAAACAACACAAGTAAGCCATAAACAAAAATTCAATGAATCTTCATGACATAAACTGTAATTGTACAGGTACATAATCATTTCATTTTCCTACCTGATCATCATCGAGAAGGAGGTTTTCCTAAAAGAACACAAATAAATAAAATCTAAAGTCAGATCAGATAAAATGATTGTGCAATGCACAATGTCATAATTTTCACCTAAATTACACTGTAATTTCATTCACTAGACCAAAAAAAAATCACTCACTGGTTTAAGGTCTCGGTGAGCATATCCTCTGTCATGAATATAGGCTACTGCAGAAACAATTTGTCTAAAGAACCCTCTGGCCTCGTCTTCCTGTTGGGAAAAGGTCAATAAAGTATAACAAAAATTTTCAGTCTGAAATTGGGTCTAGATTTTTGGGTCTGCACTAGGCTAACTTGAAGCTTGGGGGTGTTTTCTTCTTCTTTTTTTGTCAGCGGTACAAGGGAGATTGAGAAAAAGGGTTCCAAGAAGGATGCTGCGCACTTGTCTCCCATGTCAATTTTCCAAAAGTACCCACCCAAGAGCTAGCAATGCACATTATACACAGAAACATAAGTTTGAAAAACAGCTATTAATGCCAGGTGCAAAGAAAGTCAGTTTTGCAGCTTACCACTCAAACAAGCTGTAGCTGGTATGTACTAGCCCAAAAGTCCTTTCAACTAGCCCCAAAAGTGTTTTTAACAGGACTGATTAACAGTTCTTTTGCAATTTGAATTCCTAAAAGAACTTCACTTGCCCACTGAGCATGTGAAGAACGAAATTCACCAGCCCAAAAGCAAAATGCACTAGCCCTTGGTTATTGGACACCACTTTCTTTGCACATTTAATTACACTGATATATTGCCACATAAAAATATGTGCCCATTATTAAAAATCATGCGTGTTCATTCGATATCAATAGGTGCTCTCGACGACTTAGTCAAATTCTGCAATCTCATTAATTTCCCCAGATTCAGTCATTTGAAAAAATTGAAGACTAAATTTAATTGTTTACACCAATGTATGTACATCATGTTTCATAGTTTGTATAAAAGCTATTGTTACATTAATATATCACATTAATTTTACAACGTACCCTCAACTTATCCTTGGCAACAATGTAATCAAAAAGTTCACCTCCCGGAGCATACTGAAAGAAATTGGACACTTGTATCTAATACATGTATCTTAAGTACATGACATTTTTGCAATATAAATACTGACAGTACCGACTACATGATTGTATGTCAAGCAACATACCTCCATAACCATAAAGATATATTCCTCTGTTTGGATCACATGATAGAGTTGGCAAACATGTTGATGGGTCAGGTTCTTCATGGCATCTATTTCGCGCTGTACTCTTGGTAGGTCTGACTGCACAGAGAAGTACATTCATTTGAAAAAAGTCACGATACTGATTTCTCTGAATAAAATAATTGAAGGCTTTGTACATTATTTAGCAAGTCAGGGCTGTCACTAAGATTTTAAGTTGTCAGGTGCTGTTAATCCTCTGTTGTGTTGAAGTGCAAAACCTCAGAGACACCAACGTGGAGGTTATGCAGCCGAGGATCAAAAATACATGTGTGTGTCAATCCAAACTTCCAGCATCATACCAGATTAGTCCACTTGAAATGTTACGGTTGTGATTGATTTATACAGTCTATTATCTAAGAATTGGGAGCTTAAGCAACGGCAGCAACGGCTACGAAAACAACAGGTAAAAAGTGTGTTCACTCTGTTTTAAACTTTTAATATTGTAATTATTCCATCTCGCTCTACTCATTAGATGTTGGCAAATTTTTCTGGATTTGAATGCTAAAGGCTATGTTAAAGTTCAGGAAAAGAAAAAGAGGGTCGTTGTCTTGTGTTCATGTTCTCCACAAAACGTGAAATTAGGCAAATTCATGTCGTAGTCGTGCAACGACGGCAAAGAAATATACAAAAGAGCATGATTGTTGTTTTGCCAATCTAACCCTACTGCTTTTTTGTCCTCGTTGTCGTCACCGTTGTTGTTGCTTAAGCTCCCTAATAAAGGAGGAAGAGGTGGGGGGGGGGAGGGGCTTAACAACTTTCTCCTTCTTTATGGTATACACCGAATGCAAATATGGCGGACCTCTCGGCCGGCCCGGGTCTAGTTGCGCGAAAGCGAGGCTAGTGAGGCCTTAAGAGTTTGTTTTGACTGCGCGTCTTAGCGATCGAGTCGATCGATATGGTTTGCTTCGAGTTGTTGCATGCCTGAGGGCCACCAAAAATAAGATTTTACTCTAGCTGGAATGGCCTTTACTTTCCCGAGATAGTTTCACAAAGAAAGTTAAGGATTCATGCGATTCGGCGCGGCGATGGGAAGCACTTAACAGCGAAAGTATGCTCGCTTCACTTGCTTTAGATGAGAGGACTCACGAAAGTATTTGAATGAAATAATTTTCACAAGAGATGGTGCTGTTCCAAGATGTTTGCATAGTCTGTTATTTATCCAACAAAAGGTAAACATTCTCGAGAACGGGAGCATCCGCTGTGGACTGTAAGATCTTTTAGATTTTACGCTGAAAACAGCTGCATTAAAATATAACAACAACAATAACAATCGCCTGTTAATCCTACAAGCGTGGCCTGTTAAACTATGTAAGAACCGGAAGAAAGCGACATATTTCACGAACAGTCCTTGACCAAAGTGCACTGAAAAAACTAACGGAGGAACCGTTGCCGACTAAGAAAGTAAGAAGAAGGGAAAAGGTTCTGGCAGAGAAAGAGCGTCCAAGTATTCGAGCATTGTATTTGATCTTGCGCGTGATCTCAGTTTAGCAACTTGTCGAATGGTTTCGAGATAAACTAACAGCGATTTTCCAAAAATTGCTTCTTTTATGGCACTGCTCAAACTCTTGAAAACAGGATCGTGAAGACTGTGAAAACAAGCGGCCTTGTTGTCTGTCGTTGTGTCGAGCCCTGAGAGCGCCTAAAGATTGGTAAGTCATGACGGCGGATTCACTCGTTCTCAAGGATATTTACCTTTCCTTGGTAAGAGAACGGACAAAGCAAACTTGAAACAGAACCATGAATCTTTCAGTTATTCACCCATTCTAATAGTTTCGTGAGTCATTCTTCTCTTCTGAAGTGAAGCGAGCACACTATCGTTCTTTTCACTCCGTGATAGTGAAGTGCCTCCATTCGCCGCGCCGAATTGCTTGAATCCATTTCTTTCTTCGTAAAAGAACCTTGGCAAAGCGAAGATAATCAACTTTCGTCTCTGCTGGAGTTAAATCTCCTCTTTGATGGCTCTTAAGCACGTAACAACTCGAAGGAAACCATATTGATCGACTGAATCGCTAAGACGCGCAGTCAAAACAAAACTCTCGAGGCCTCACTAGCCTCGCTTTCGCGCAACTAGACCCGGGCCGACCGAGAGATCCGCCATATTTGCATTCGGTGTATATGCAAGAAGAAGGCAAGGAATTGAACAGCTAGGAAGTTCTTTTAGTTCCACTTTCCTTTTGTTTCCTATGAAAGTAGCCAGGTTTTCTGCTCATCGTTAGGCAGGGGAAATCCAAAACTACTGGTCCTTAAGGACAGCCCTGACGAGTGTACTGAATATAAAAGTGTAGTCAAGTATGTACTAAGTACTTTGCATCTGATGTACTTTGTATGACTCCCCCCCGCCCCCCCCGAAAAAAGTGGACACCTTTTAGTACACCTGCCACCTTTTTTGAGTCTAAGGCAAGAGATTTGCTTACCATGAGGTCTGAAGATTTCGAATAATGCGATTCGCAGTTCTCACGAAAATGATTATAGAAATGTCCCTTGTACAATGTACTGGTAATAAGTTTTGGGGAAATGAACAATTATTTGTGAACATGAACATTTCTTTTCTCACATTAGTTGATTCAGGCTCAAAGCACGACATTACATGTAAACTGTTAAAGTCGAATTCTTTGACATCTATAAGGTAGACTTTTATTGCCGATCCCAGTAGCATCCATTTAAGACAGATTTGCGTAAACTGAATGTCAATAATGTTCTTGTTTCAAAAGAAAAAATAATTATTGTTTGATATTGGTTATGAATACAATGAAGAAACTATTTTATCTCTATTTCTTTCTAAAAATTGTGGAAAGCTCCCCTTTTCTATTCCTTTAAAGGCTGCTTGTTAAATCAACAGATTTCCTTTGGCATAAACCGTTGGAGTCACTTACACCGAGTTCTTTCTTGTTCATAATCTTTATTGCAACCTATAACAAAGAGCAATCAATAAAAATTGATGTAAGTTACAAGATTGAGTTTTTAGAATATCATTGATTACTACTTGTGTAATGTACATGTACAGTCAGGTACATGTGCCTATTCAGGGTTTTCATAAAGAAATTCTAGTAGCAGGAGAAAGGTGTAAAAGGTGTAACGTTGCAGGAGAATATTTTTAAAGAGGCTCCACACCCGAGTAAAAATAGTCAAAGGCAATTGACTATTAGCAGGAGAATTCTGCATAGTAAACGGAGTCTGAATTCTCCGATTTCCAATGCCTAATGAACACCCTGCATACTAATTAGGGGTCACAGCTTGAAAACTCAAGCCCCATCCACACGTAAGCATTTTTGTTTGAAAATGGAGATTTTTTTCCTCTGGTTTGGCCTACCGTTCACATGTATTTGGTAAAAATGGTCACCAAAATGCATCTTTTCAAAAACGCTATTCAGAGTGAAGAGTTTTGAAAACGCTGGCCAGATGTTTACATGTGGACAGACGAAAACGGAGGTTTTCGAATACGATGATGCTATACATCATTTGCGTACTACAACCAGTTGCAAAAATGTTGAGACACTCCAACGAAAAATCTGCTAGTCACACTTCTGTGCAATATAAAGTTCGCCTCCCTCCTACCCTCCATTCAAAGTTGTTCCTCCAAGTTTTGAGTATTGTCTTGTATTTCAAGCAACTTTGATAAGAGGAAGAGGAGGGATCACACGCACAAGATCATAAGAAGGCCAGTGAAGCCAAAATAAGGTACAGTGTACAGTATCTCAAGTACTTTTGCAACTGGTTGTAGCTTAACCCTTTAAGCCACAATATCCACATACAAATTCTCCAAAATGATCTCCATACATTTCTTTAAAGGATGAGTTGAGAGAATTTGATAAAGGTCAAAGCATTTTCCCTTATGCGATCATTTTGTTAATTCTTATAACCTTACCTCTTAACATTGTATGGATATTATTAGGAGAAAATTGATGTTGGTCACTATTGGGACTTAAAGGGTTAACGCATGCTCTGTGAGACATGCTATCCTATTTCCATTGTTTAGCATCTTCATATGGATGGGCGAAAACAGTTCAAATACACTACAGGTGTATGTGTGGATGCATATTTTTTTTTGGCAACAGGGTAAAAAAATTTCCGCTTTCAAAAATAATTATCCGGATAGGTGTGGCTGGACATCTAGGGACTCAGATTAATACCTTTTCTCCAGTCAGACTGTGAACAGCAAGCTTTACCTTGGCAAAACCACCTAATAATAAAGAAGGGAAACAAGAATAACATTGTCACAATACCGTAAATTCTCTATTAAGCCCCCCTGGGGGGTTTATTTATTTCAAGGGCCCATTTGAGGCGGGGCTTATTTAATTTACAAAAGAAGATGGTATCAGTTCTCCATAAATAACTAGAATAGAAAGTGGAAAAGCTCAAAATAATCTTTATTTTTTGGCAGATAACAAAAATTAATACTACAGTAGTTTTTTTTGCTGAAAACTGCAGTTACTTTCTCTAATAGAATTGAATTGATGTTTTCAATCTAAAACTCAGCAAGGTACTGAAAAGAAACAGTACTCTTTTCTCATAATATTATTTTGATAATAAAATTATGACCTTATAACCTGAGATTAAAATGTCACCCTATTTTTTTTCTTTTCTTTTCCTTTTATTAACTTACAGTACAGTTACTGTAATTCAGCTCCTGGAGACACAGTATAAGACTGTGCCCTAAGTAACATGTTATTAATTCCTCCCCTGCCTTAAAATCAGTTTTTGACTTGCCCCAACTCTCTGGTAGTATGCGCTTTTCACAATCATGCAAACTCCAAAGTTCAATTAAAGCTCCCTTCACAATTGCATTTTTCGCTACTGTCAATCATAATTATGATCACAAGCAACGAACCTTGAAACACAGAAACACACAAAGCGGATCAAAATCCACCAATCACAAACCATGACCTTTTGAACCCGTTAGCGTAAAGTTTTGTTTCCTAAGAGGTCAGTTAAGATGATTGACGGCGGTGAAAAACACAATCATCGGCTGGCTTTTGAACTTCAGAATTCGCATGTTAGTGAGAAGTGCAGTAATAGCATTAATGAATAAATTGATTTTAACAGGGATGACCTGCCAGAACCCTTTCCCATTTAGCCTGCAAAGCAGGCATATTCTCAAAAATGCGCAAAAAAATCATGGATCTTTTTTTTTCGTATTTTGAGAATACACCTGCTTTGCAGGCTAAAATTAATGGGCAAGGGTTCTGGTGAGTCAGCCCTGGCAAAATCACTTCATTAATTAAAGGAACAGTATCCCGTTACTGCGCATGCACCAAACTTTGATTTTTGGACAGGATGTCGCGAAATCAAAAGATGCGAGGAGAGTAAGAGAATCTTGAAAAATCCGTTTGCATCGCGCTTGGCCGGGTTCAATACGACACTAAAACTTCTCAGGATTATAGATCAATGATATTTTGTTCCTGTTAAGTTTTTATTTGGGCAAAATCTGGATTTTTTGGCGTTACTTTTATTGCCGTTGGCCGGAGGACCAAAAGATTGGAAGCACTTTGATGCCGATTGAAGGCTTATTTCTTCTGCTAGCTTCCATACAAGCTCAGATAATTGTGAAAGGAATACGCAGAAATGAAACAGCAACAATAAAGACTGTAAGAAAGAAACCGTTGAGACATTGATGTGACTGAGGAGATCTTGTGGAGGGGAGCTTCGTGAAGCAGAATGTTTTGCAACGACGCGTTAGTAAACTTTTAAATGAATCTCCTTACGGCCGACAAAATCGAACAAACAGGCGCTACACGTTTTGAAAAACTAGTGACATGAATCATAATATCATTCTTGACTAATCTTTGTGATGATTCATAGTGTTGAGATTGCATTTTTATTTATGTCTTTCAAATGTTTGAGGCTAGAACGCGAGCAAATCAGGCAGATATATACTGGACTTGGAGCGATTGACCTCTGACACGAGTTTCAAATTAGAAAATATGTTTTTAAAGCGAGCGGAACGAGATTTTCGGGTTGCGAGGCGGCCCAGCTAGCGATAAAATCGCGATGAGTCTTCGAACCGCAAGCCAAATTTTTATATAAGACGAAAGACTTCTTCGAAAGTCTAAAATATTACTTGAGAATATAAACAACAAATCTCTGTCGGCGGTGCGGTCCGGAAGGAAATCTTGTCGAGTCAATTTGACAGTTCTATTGTCTTTTGAAGAAAAAACAGATGATGCTCGCGTGTGCGCATAATCGGGACAATGTCCCTTTAAGAAAAGCAAGAAGTGTGCTGGGCAAGTGAGAGCTTCTTGCCCAAAAGACAAGCTTGAATGCAACTTTTTTTCACCCTGTTTCAAACTTGGCCAATGAGAGCTGAAGATGTACACTTATAGTTGAGATATACATGTACATGTAGACTGTATAATCAGGGCTTCTGATATTTCACGCGGTTGCAGAGCCGCGAAATTCAGGTAAATCCGTGAAATCCTGCGAAATTCACAAAAACACGCAAAATACCGCGAAATTTGGTAAAAATCTTATCAAAAAGACATCTGTACAACATATTTGAAACTTATTTCAGCTATTGGGGCTATTTACTTGCTGTAAACTTGCAAATTTATCTTGAAACTTTGTCACTGAAACGTGCAAACAACGTCCCAAAACTACTAGGCGTAGATTATGATTGTTGCGAAAAACTGGACACTAGCCATGATGTTAAAGGCTTTGCCATTGGTTCATTTCTTGAGTGTATTGTTGTTGAAAGAGCAAATTATAACCTCTGTTAAAAAAACGCTAAAAACGCCAGTCTGATCAGCGCAAAGCTGATCGATTTCCAGTGAAATTTGCCTTGAAAATAACCACAAAATCGGCCATTTTTTACCGATTGCTTTTTGGCGAAGTTTGCCCTGAAATTTACCGCAAATTTGTCCCTAAAATCCCGCAAAATTTGACTTTTTTCTCCGCGACCTATCAGAAGCCCTGTATAATGTAAAACTGAACTATTATTTCAGGGTTTTCTTTGATTACAAAGAGAAAGCAGGCTAAGAAAAATCATAGAGTATCCGTAAATAATGAAAGTACTTTAAGGGACAGACAGAAACATTAACTGCCGAAAAAAAAATCAATAGAATCTGTCATTTGTTTACAGCTGTATTATCTTTAGGCATAGGATGTGTTGCTTTTGTGTGACAACATCCTGGAAGTTTTTTTTAGAGGGACAGAATGTGTATACTGGCAAAAGAAAATAATAATGGAATGATAAAGCACTGAGATTAAGCCTTGCCAGCTGTGCAGAATAAACAAAAACTACCGGTAGATCTATAGTTACACTGTATGTAAGAACTGCTCAGTGAGTGAACTGACGTAATTTAATGAAACCTCTGCTTAATTTGCCAGCTTTGAGCTTCGTCGTGATGTAGGTATATTAGCTATTGCAATTTCTTGCATACTTTCATAAAAACCTCATGCTTTTATAAGTTTCAGCGATCATTTACAGATTAAGTTATGATAAGTGTTACTCAGGGCCCAGTTGTTCAAAAGGCTGATAACGTTATCCTTTGGATAAATCTCTATCAAGTGGATAATTCAATTATTGCCTTCTCTAAGACTTATCTGCTGGATAGTAATGTATCTGGTGGATAGGGCTATCCACGATCGTTTGACCCTAGTTGTTCAAAAGATGGATAACGCTATCAACTTGATAAATCTCTAACCCATGGACCGGTGGATGGCACTAACCATTCAATGTACATGTAACTTTCACAACTGGGAGCAGATCTTAAAGGTAATTGTTTGCTTTATAAGCATGCATTTGGATTATTATTAACATCTTTTGGCATGATGTCAATGCAGTGTAAACCATTTTGACCTTACAGGATGTTTTTTCAATAATAATTCTGTGCTTTCCATTCATTTTATGATCAACATACACACCACTGTATA